AAAGTTGGGCTGTACACGCTAAACCGCCTGTATTTGCAGGAGCCTCTTCCGAGCGGAGTGTCTGTTGCAGTTCCTGTGCAGTTTGTTCTGGCGGTATATAATATTTTTATGTTTTCGCCTGCATGAACATTCCGTGGATTGAAAAGTACAGGCCAAAGACGCTGGATGAAGTTGTGGGGAATCCGGAAATAGTCGATGCTTTTAAGATATTTGCAGATGACGAGAACATGCCGCACATAATTTTAACGGGAACTCCCGGGATAGGGAAAACCACAGTTGCAAATGCGCTTATACACCAGATATTTAGAGAGTCCCCAGGGAAGATGAAGGAGTCTACGCTGGAGCTGAATGCATCGGACGAGAGGGGGATTGATGTGGTAAGAGTGAAGATAAAGGGATTTCTGCAGAAAAAACTTGCAAATACGCGGTTTCTCATACTCGACGAGTCTGACTCTATGACCACGCAGGCGCAGCAGTCTATGCGCACGCTTTTGGAGAGGTTTAGCACGGCCAAGTTCATATTCATATGCAACGACATCTCCAAAATATCAGACACGATACAAAGCAGATGCGCAATTCTGCGGCTGTCTCCTTTGACGGCTGAGGACATTGCAGTGATCGTGCGAAGAACCTCCGAGAAGGAGGGCCTTGAAATATGCGAGAAATCCGTGCAGAGAATAGCAGAGACAGCGGAGGGAGATGCAAGACAGGCGCTGAATCTGCTGCAGACAGTAGCAGCCATTTCCAAGCGCGTGAGCATAGACGTAGTCCAAAGAATGAGCCATATTCCCCCGATAGAAACAGTCCAGAAAATATTCGCCAGCAGCACCCCGCAAAAAGAGGCTGTGCACTTGCTGGACTCCCTCTTTGGGGACGGATACTCTGCAGAAGACATTTCCAAGATGATTTTCCGGCTGGGGAAGGAGAAGGGGGAGGTCTCCCTGCTTGAGATGGCGTCTGGGCTTCTGATGAAACTGTCGGATACCCTTTCAAAAGTCCATTTCTACGCTGCCCTGATGCGGTACAAGGCCCCCAGAGCAGGAAATGCCCTGAAAAAATACTAACGGTCAGAATCAGCAGAAAAATCACGAGAAAATCCGGTGCCAGCCCGTGGGATTTTGCAGAGGATTTCCCCAGGGGGCATGCACCGCACAGAAGAAATCCAAGCCCTTTCTGCAGAGGAGAGTATTTCCAGGCGCCAGTCTCTTGCAGAGGTCTAGCAGCATATTTTTGTGCATATAAATTTTATTTTCTGGGCCCTTGTTAAAAGCATAATGGCACACGATGAAAATGAAGCAAGTGGAATGATAAAGGACATGATCCAGTCGCAGGAAGTGCGCCCAAAGCACATTATATTTATAGAAGACGGCGGGGTGAAGCTGGTCGAAATAGTGTCAATAGCAAAGTCCAAGCCCGGAAAGCACGGATCCGCCAAGTTCTGCTTCCAGGGAATAAACTTAGTGACGGGAAAGCACTACCAGTTCACAGAGGGGTCGAAGACCAACCTCACAATTTGCACGCTCGTAAAGATTCCCTGCGAGTTTGTCGACATAAACGAAACAGACCAGTCTCTTGTCGTGCTCAACGAGGAGTCCGCTGAAATAATAACAGTCTCTCTCGACAGAATCTCCGAGGAAACTCTCGACGAGATCAAGAAGCACCGGGATTTGGTGGGTGCAGATGGCGACATCAGATTCAAGCTTGTGGACACCCCGTACTTAGTGGTCATCACTGAAATAACCTCCAAGGCATCCTAGGAAAGCAGCTAAATAAAGAGCCAGTGCACACTAGAAAATACTACTTTCAAAGAGCAGATGAAACACTGCCTAACATATGATTGCTTGCATTTATTCAGCTACGATTATTGAGAGCCCGACAGAATCGCAAAGAGTCCTCCTGCGACCAGCCCCACTCCTATGACAAACCCAATCACAGTCATGAAAGGCCCCGTGAAGAACTTGTATATTTTTCCGTGCCCGTCCTCCACAGGGGAGAAGAATATCACGCCTATAAAGCCGGATGATTCGCCTCCGCTTCCTCCGTGGCTGCTGTGACCTTCGTGTCCTCCGCTGTTATACGTGTTCGAGCGATTTCCTGCTGCAGATCCGCTTGCCTTCCTGGTGGAGCTTCTCGTCATGGATCCGCTGGCCTGTGCAGAGGCACTTTCCTCCGAGGACTCGCTTGCTTGTGCAGAGGCACTTTCCTGTGAGGACTCGCTTGCTTGTGCAGAGGCACTTTCCTGTGCGGACTCGCTTGCTTGTGCAGAAGCACTTTCCCCAGCACTCGCATCTTCAGCGCACTTTATGTGCACCAGTGCAAGCAAGAGAATAAGAGCTAACGAGAGTAAAGTTCTTGTAATTTTGACTTTCATTGCATTTCTGTTCTGCTCTGATATAAATACTTTTTCCAGGCAGGCCAGACGCAAAATGCCAATCAAAAGATCAAAAGATCACCAATTGCCTCCCCACGCAGGAACGGCCGCACACTGCCCTTTTACGGAGCCCAATCACGCAAAATTCCTCAAATGATTGATCGCATCCCGTGCGTGTTTCATCGCAGGCAGGCTCCTAATTCTTCTGCTCCTCCTGCAGGACGATGACTTCATCGATTCTGAGAATGCTAATTGCTGCCTCCGTTGCTGCCCTGAGGGCCTTGAGCTTCGTATCCAGCGGCTCAATCACGCCCTCCTTGAAGTTGTTTCGGACTGTTCCTCTGTCCAGGTCCAGGCCCATCTCCCAGTTGCACTTATCGTGTTCTGCCAGGAGCTTCGCAAATAAGTCGTTAGCGTCCAGGGCTGCGTTCACGATAAGAGTCTTTGGCACTCTCAAAAGCGCCTCCCCAAACTTCTGTATGACGACCTGCTCGTTGCTCCCGAAGGAAAGCCCGAAGTTTGAGATGTACACTCCGAGGGCTGCCTCAAAGGCTCCTCCTCCGACGACCACGGACCTGCTCTCGAGGGTTCTCTTCAGGGCGCAGAGTCCGTCGTGGATGCTTCTCTCCATCTCGTCCAAAATCTGCTCGTTTGCTCCCCGGAGGATGACTGATGCGCCGACTCCCTTCGAAGTCGTGATGATCGTGCACTTCTCCTCCCCCAGGACCTCAATGTGCACGCTGTCCGCTGTTCCCAGAAGGGGGGCGAACTCTTCTCCGGTCACGTCCTCAAAAGACGCGTATATTTGCGTTCCTGTTATCGCTGCTATCCTCTCAAGGTCTTCCCTCTTGCAGCGCCTGATTCCGAGGGCGCCTGCATCGATGAGCAACTTCGAGCACCCGTCGCTGATTCCCTTCGTGGTGAAAATCACGTTTGCACCTGCCTTCAGGAGCTTCCGGATCTTCTCGTGGGAGTTGGTGATTTCCTTCTCCCGGATCCTCTCGAGGTCGTCCGGCGTCTCTGCGGATATCTTCACGGACAGGCCCATTTTCATCTGCTGCAAGTCCATGTCCAAGCACACGATTCTGGCCTTATTAACGCGTGCAGGCATCAAATTACTGCTGGGGACGCAGTTTATGGCATACCCTGAAATAAACATGCTTTCGTCCATGCTCTTCCCCTGCTTCTTCAGCACGTTAATCTCCTCAATGGGGTACGTAACTGTCTTGTCTGCCTCTGTCCTCCTAACTGCGTGCACTGCATCGACCATAATCTTGCTAAAGAGCCTGCTGCTGCACTTAATGACTTTGCTCGATATCGTACTCTCGCATATTTTCAGGAGGTCTGCATACCCGGGATTTTTCAGCTTTTTTTCGAGCGTATTCCGGATAAATCCAACGGAGTGCTTGAAAGCTGTTTTGTACCCGGAGACAACAATTGTCGGGTGTATCCCCTCCTCTATAAGGCCGATCCCGTGCTCTATCAGCGCAGCCGCAAGCAAAACTACACTCGTCGTTCCGTCCCCAACTTCTTCGTCCTGCTGCACGGCCAAGTCTATGAGTATCCGGGCAGCTGAATCGGTGCTTTGCAGAGACGAGAGAATAGTTGCTCCGTCGTTCGTAATGGAGACATCCCCTATTTTGCTAACTATCATCTTATCCAGGCCATGTGGTCCATAGGACGTTCTTACTGTGTTTGCTATCGCTAGGACTGCAGATAGATTCTTCTCTCTGGCAGCTCCCCCTGTGAGTCTTTCCCCGTCTACGAATAGTTCCTGGACTGTCATTCCCCTTAAAATTTTTCTGCTATTTGTTATTCAAATAGGAGGGCTCTCTGTTGTTTATGAGTATGAAATACACACAGAAAGTGTGCAAAAAGAGAGGGCTATTTCCCGTGCTGAAACAGTGCATTGAAGTGGGCAAAATCAGAAAGCTGAAATATTTGATGCAAAAGCACAGGGTGGATCCGTCTCTCCTCCAGAGCAAGAACAAGTGCACGCTTCTGCACGTGGCTGCTGCCTACAATAGGAGCAGAATCGCCTTGTTTTTGATAGAGCAAGGATCTTCTATTTATCACCAAAATAGCAAAAACGAGTGTCCGTACTATGTGGCTGTTGTGCGGGGATGCAAAAATGTTCTTAAGTATATGGAGGACGTGAAATAATAAATATTTTTTATACTGTATTTATGGCTGAAGAGTGTAACCACCCGATACGCATAGGGGATATGTGTGGGAGATGCGGATGCGAGATAAAGGACAAAAACGAGGAATTATTCACTCTTCTCCACAACAACACGAGTGTTCTTTTGAACAAGACAGAGGCTGAGCGCGTGAACGAGGAGATGTACGATAGCATTACGAAGAACAGAAAACTAGTGCTTTTGCTGGACTTGGATCAGACGGTCATTCATACGAGTGTTTCTGGGCGGTTTGGGGCGTACTTTCACGAGCTGAAAAAAGAGGAAATGAATTTTTCCTGTGGGGGAAGTGCAGGAGAAAATAAAACCAGTACCGGGGAAGGCGGCTCTGGAGATGTTTCAAAAAATATAAGGTCTCCAGAAAAAGGCAGAAAGGCAGTTTGCCTCGAGGAAAGGAAGGAAAGGGCTGTTCGGGAGGTGCAGGAGGTAAAAATAGAGGGTTTCTCCTACTATGTTAAGCCCCGGGATGGGTTGACGGAGTTTTTGCTGGAAGTTTCCAAGTACTACGAAATACACATATACACGATGGGAAACAAGGCGTATGCAAATGCTGTTGTGGGCCTGCTGGATCCTGGCAGGACACTCTTTGGGAACCGGATAGTGACGAGAGACGACAATTTTGGGTGCTTTGAGAAGGACATTAAGAGACTCTTTCCGACCAACTCCAAGCACGTCGTGATTTTGGACGATCGCCCGGACGTGTGGGGGTTTATTGACCGCCTGTACCCGATCCGGCCGTATACCTTCTTCCAGTCTGAGGACATAAACAGCCCGGAAATCCTGCAGGGAAAGAAGTCCCTGAAGAAAGAAGAGGCTTCCGGGGGAGTGACTGGGAAGAAGGATCTGATGCGCCGGATAGAGAGGGAGTGCATCAGCACATATTTTGACAGCGAGCTAGAGAAAGTCCTTGCAGGGCTTGTTGAGGTCCACAGAGAGTTCTTTACAGGGAGAGAGAATACAGCGGAAATATTGCGGGAAATGACGGGGGTGTTCAGAGGATGCGTTGGATCTATTATTACGCCCGCGAAGGAGTTTACATGCTACCTTAGCAAGCTGTTTCTACAGCACGGGGGAAGCATTTCTGCAGACCCTTCAGCCTCTTCAGTTACGCACCTGATATGCAGTTCAGGTACGCCCGTGAGAATAAAGGGAACGGCCAGAAGGCTGCAGAGCATAAAGTGCGTAAGGGATGCGTGGATATGCGAGTCCATTTTCTTGCTTAAGCGGCAGAATGAGGACGACTTCCTGCTGAGCACCGCCCACATGGAGCGCATAAGCACTCCGGAAGAGTACTCAGAGTCTGACGAAAACGCGTATGAAAAAGATCGGGTAAGCACTTTGGACGTAGAGAGCAGCGATGATTCTTTGTATAGACAAATAGTAGAAGGCGAATAAAAATGGCTGCTTTACATTTCAGTGAAGTTTTGTGTTTACTCCCATTAGGCGAGTCCATAGCACCCACGCCCTGCACAATAAGTGTTTCAGCGTGAATACACACCGATAAAAGCGGAACTATTTCAGGTCCCGAGAAAATGTTTCATCAGAAACCCTATATTAAACATCTGCAGGAGGCCAAAAAATGACCTATAGAGCGCGCATTTGCATAGTTATTATCCATGCAATTTCCTGCCTCTGCGGGCACATATTTGACGATACTCTCGTTGTTTTCTCGCAGGACAGGCGAGAAAAAGTGCTTCTGGATAGGGGACTCGTGGAGGGGTTTACAGCTCGACAGGACACATACCACGAGGACATGCAGGATGGAGAGAGAAAGAAGTGGCTTGTACAGCGCGTGCATGCAGACTTGTCCATCTCCCAGATGGTGACAGTTCCAAACGAGCACGTTCCCTATATAAACGACTTTTTCAGCATGGCCAGCATACCAGAATACGCTGAGGGAAAGTTATTCTCAATGCAGGGCCTGGTCGGGATACTGTGGGGGTGGCTGTACTTTCACCTGAGGGAGTTCACCACCGTCTCCCCGAAGTATGCCCGCGGGAGGGCGGAAATGGGGAAGAGAAGCTGTTTCCTGCAAAATCTCTTTTTCTTGCTGAAGAATAACCCAAACCTGAAGAAGGAGGTGCGAAGTATTTTGGCGGAAATAGAAAAGCTCCCGGAAAACACGGAGGAAGTTCCCCCCACAGGGAAGTTTATCCCGAGGGACCGCCTCCTGTGGTTTCTAAGGCACTCGCGGAATGCGGATATTCGGGAGTTTCTGGATGTCTATCTGTATAGGGAGCACTTTGGAGTTTCTGTGCGTGCGGAGACTGTTGGAGACGTGAAAAAGAGAAATACCGTTAAAATTTCTGTTTTTAAACCGGAAAAAACAAAATCAACCCCTGGCAATTTGGACTTTACGGAGTTCCTGCACAGGCACAGTCTTTCCTCCGTTAGGAAGATAGACCTTTTCATAGGGAAAGACATCTCCCTCCCTGAGCCTATTTTCCAGGCTCTTTTCGTGCTCTTTTCAGGCGCAAGAGTCCTTTCGTACGAGTACCCGGGAGAAAAATACGTTAAAAAATCAGCTGATCTGATCGCGGATCTTTTACGATCTGAGAAAAAACGGATCAATCAGGGCCATCCCCCCCTCCTCAACGGCCTGATTTTGTCGAGCTCCCTCCTTCTCTCAGAAACGGGGATGCACTACCTGGAAAAGTCCTCTCTCGAGGTGTTCGGGTTTAAAAGCTTCTATCCCCCCACGCCAGAGTCAGAGTTTGCCTTCAAAAAGGCCCAGCCAGCCCTGGAAAGGTGCCTGGACCGGATATTCGAGGGGAGAACTCTCCTCTCCACGACTCTCGAGCACATAGTCGGCCCTGAGTCCCTCTTCTTCCTCGAAAAGTCCCGGGCAAGCCATCTTCCGCGCCTGAAAACAGCGGAAATTCACATGCCCCACTCCCTAGCGGAAGAGACTGGGCGCTTCTACAGGGGAATTCTCACAAGCCTCCGCCAAGCGAGGAAAGTGATTGTTTCCGGCTCTTCAAAGTCCACCCCCAAAGACACTCTCCGCATTCTCTCGGGAATTTCCAGGCTCCAAAACATCTCCGTCCTCGACCTCTCGAAGGCCTCCCTCGGGTCTCTCTCCCTCTCGGAAATTCTGCAGGACGTGAGGACGCAGTACCGGCACTCTCTGCACACGCTGAAGTTCGTCTACCCGATGGAAAGTTCTCTCTCCCGGGAATCTCCTATAATTTCATCCCTTTCCCGGGCCCTCCCCAACATCTCGAAGTACAATGTCTTCGTAACCCCGAAAAACCAGGCTTCCATCCTCCCCGTGCTGATAAAAGACCTGCACCGGACCCTCACGGGGCACAAGCGGAGAAAGCGCCTGAACCTTTCGATGACGCTGCACCTTCTTGAAAGCAAAAGCTCCGGAAGCTCCCCCTGGAAGACTCTGAAGTCGCTGCCCTACAAAATAGACGAGTCCTCTGTTTCCCGTGCGTACTCTCTCCAAGGCCTCTCCGAAAGCGCCTTCACCCAGGAGGAAATGCACCGTCTTCTCTTCCTAAGCACGCACTCATAACGGAATAAAAAGGCTTATAAAGTATTTTATTAGTAGAAAGCGCTCATAGGATCGACATTCTTTGGGAGTGTGAAGGGCGTCTTAAAGTAGCTTCTCAGCCCCTTAACTCCTGCGCACTCCTTTTCTATTGCGCTGTCTATTACCTGCTGTTTTCCGTCTAATTTCAGCAAGTCCAGTATTTCCAGGTCCACTGCGTTCTCTGTTGTCCAGTCTCTTATTTCGGATATTTCCTTCTCCTTCACTTCGATGGAGCTGATGAAGTCTCCCTTGAGTGGGACAAAGACGGAAACTGGATGGACAAATCTTTGGTTTACTACAGTGAATGCCATTCCGTTGATTTTGGATGGCCCGCTGACTAGAAGTAAGTTCTTTGGAAGCCTCTTCACAACAACTCCTCTGAGAGATGTGTACTGGCCTTTTAGTACAACAACAACTTGGCCTTCGATTATATCTGGCCTCTCCTCTTCGGTGTATCTTTTGTTGTTTTCCAGCCATCTCAGAACTTTTTCTGGGATGTCATCGGCTGCATACTTTGAGCCTTCCTGCTTGTTTATTATAATGTTTCTAATCATCTGGGGTGCAAGAAATAAAAAATAAAAAAATACTAGCGAGTCTCTGCGGGTGTGGGTGGCCGGAAAATATGCTGGAGAAAAAGTTGGGGTGGGACGAAGGCGGTGGGACAGGTAGGGTGGGAGAAGCAATTCCCTCGAAGGAAATTGTCTGAAACCCCAGAATGGGCATTCTTGGGATTTGGGGATATTTTGGGGCTTGGAAAGATGGGGTGATGGGCTCAGTGGTTTGTGCGTGTGGGTGGAAACTCACTATGTAATAGAAAAAAGCGCCTTTGCGTGCTGGAAACAGGTGTGTGCATAGGAAAATAGTCAATAAATCTAACTAGTTCTAATGGTGAGATTTTTCTTGGGATTTTTGTGGGATTTTTCTGCAAAAATTCGGGAAAGGCTGAAAATAGTACTCCCGGATGCCTCGGGGACTCTGGAAAATCTGAAAGTTTAAACTATGGGTGGGAGTGCACGCACGCACTGCACTCGCGGGTGTGGGGCTGCACCGAAAATTCTGGGTGCAGGGATGGGATATTTCTATACGCTCTGGCACTTTCTGGGGGTGCAGAAGCTGGATTTTTTCACAGAAGCACGGGATTTCCCGCAGCAGGCTTAGGCCGGGGTGCGGGATCGATGCGCTCGTGCATCCGCGTGCTTTCCTGCAGCTAGACGGATAGGCTTTTGCCATGGAATTCTGAAGAAGTGTCTGAAGATGTCCTACTTCCTTCCGCCAGCACATGCCATGCGAGACAGATAGAGCGTACGCCGCCCTGCACCCTCATGCACGATATGCGCTGAATTTTAAGCTCTTCGGACAATTCTTCGGATAATTTTTGCTTCTACAGGGCGGGCGTCCACGTGGATTTGCACCCTGAAAGTGCCGAAGAAAGTGCCCGTCAAACTTAAACTCTTCAAGGCAAATGTGCAAAAATGCAAGGCTGAAATATTATTGAAAGATCAAAAATGATTTTTTCAAAGTATCAGAAAGTATTTAATATATGCACAGAATCAGCACAGATAAAGCAAATATATGCAATCTAAGAACAACTATAAATATTCCTGTATTTTTTCATTTTATGATACGCTGCAGGAAAAATAGAAGTAATTCAAGTATAGGCGAAGGACTAAGAGTACTGTGCATGTGCATTGTATTGTGTGCGTGCGTGTATGCGTCTGAGAATGCGCTGTGTAATTCCCAGGAGTTTACGGAGTGCTTAGACGCCCATACAGAGGCAAAAAACAGCGATGTAAGAGCCCAGGAAAAGAGAAACACGTTTTTATGCCGGAACAGAAGAAGCACTTTCATAGGGAAGGACCTGGAGTTTCTGATAGCCACCAACCCGGTGGAAGCCCAGAACTTCTGCATGGCCACGGAGAGTCCTGATTCCAGGCTCGAGGAGGCTGGGGATAGTCCTTCCCCCCTGAAAGAGGCAGTTCTTTCTGGGAAAATAGATCAGAATGTTATGGATAAGAGCACCCGCGCAGAGAAGAAGAATAGTACCGTGGCTATATCGAATAATGAAGTTGCACACCAATTTGTTCTTCCCTTTGTGAAGACTCTGGTGCTGGAGAAGATCTGGTGCAATACGCTCATGAAAGTGCTTCAGGAGTGCTCAGCAGATCTTTTGGACATGATCGATGAAATCAGCGGAGAGTGCGGATGCGTGCCCACAGCCATGCGCTTTATCTACATCTCAAGCGAGAAAATGAGCACACTCGACAACGCCAGCAAGAGATCCGTTGGAGACGGAAGGCAGCTCTACGTGGGCCTGTCGCTGGAGAAAACAAGCCTCCAGGAAAGTTCGAACTCAGACTTGCGGGGGATAGTTGAAGTAGTGTACTCGGATGAAGAGTACGAAACCCAAGCAGGAAACAACTATTTGTGCACCTCAATGCGCTTCAACTACGTATACCAGATCGTATTCCCAAACGTCAACAAAATAGTGCTTAAGAACGTTATAGGAGAGAATGTGATGTCTGGGAAGGAGGTGCACCTATTCGAGTCACTGGAGCATAAGAGCGTACGAGAGCTTTGCATCCTCGAAGAAGGAAATGAGAGCAGGATATCCCTGAACAGCCTGTGCAACGCAGACATTTTCCCCCGTCTTAAAACCATAAAGTTATTCGGGTGTGCGATAGAAGAGCGCTCTTCGGAGGTGGAGGACTTTAATAACGCAGTTGAAACCCTGGAGTTGCACCAGTACCCGGCACAGAGTCTGCAGTTTTCCCTTATAAAGAACTTCCCTTCCCTGCGGAGTATGACTCTCTCGAACTCTCCGCTTGTGAAGTCCGTGGAAATATGCGGGATTATGGATAAAACTACAAATGCAGTGAGTCTGGACACTCTCAGGATCCAGAACTGCTGCACCCTCAAGGACTTTATGATATACCCCTTCGAGATCTCAGAGAGTGCAGAAGAGCGAAAGAAGCAGCCATTCGAGTGCGCACAGACTCTTAAGAAGAAGAAGAAGATTTTCAAAAAGTGCTGCAGCATGAGCTCGAATAATCAGCGCCTCCTTTGCATCGACAAGATATGCATTGAAGGGTGCAGCTGCATATCAATCACTCAGAAGGAGATTAAGAAGCTGTTCCTGAGCACGGGACTGGTGGATACTTTCATCCTGTCTACTCCGAAAATCCCTGCGTCTTCAAACCCGCTAGAAGCAACAGAAAATGCCGGAGTGAAGTGTGCTGAGGCTGGCTTCCCAGACTCCAGGGAAGCATCTGTGCCCTGCTCGCGGGCTTCCTCCGTCAGATCTTTAGCGCCCTCTAGCATGAAGCCCCAAAAGTCAGAGAATCCTCAGTGTCTTGCCAAAGAGAGCAGCCAGGAATAAAGAGTAAGTCTTTCCATTTGTTGTACGGAGGTGCAGAAAATATTTGTGTTGGTGCGAAGTGTGCTTTTATTCTTTCGGGGTAAATTTAGCGGAATATTCTATTGCATTGGATCTACTGGGCACGAGCAGAGCTCTTCCAGCGCGCAGAAACCGCTTATCCGCTTCTATTCTGCTGATTCGGGTGCAAATCGGCCTTTCAGCACAATCGGAATGTTTTCTGCTTGTGCGCTGTGTCCTATTGGAGTTCTCTTTGAGTTCTCTCTGAGTTCTCTTTGAGTTTCATAAGCTAAAAGTCTTGGAAAATCCCAGGATAAGGTGCTGCCTCCGAAAACTCCAGCATTCGGGCATAGGACCAGCTGCAGAGAGCAAGAACCCTCCACGCCTTCCTTGGAGCACTTTCTGGGCACTTTTTCGCCCGAAAACCTGCATATCCGCACTCTCCCGGGAAATCCGGCATATCCTAGGCCGACCCTGCATAAGAGAAGCAAATGCACGTTTTAATCGCGTATTAAGGTTTTGGCTCTTTCACTAAGTGGATAAGTTTTCCCTGTAGGCTTGGGAATGTTTTCTCAATCCAAGCGAAGAAATTTTCGAGGATGTTAAAGTCCATGGTATACAGGGCCAAATAGTGCGCTAGAAGCAGAGATGCAACTGCAACTACAAGAACAACAAAAAGTGCCGCTATAAAAATTCCCACTTTGGAGGCTATAAATCCCAGCATACTGCACGTTCTGTAGCAGCACCCGCGCTTCTCCACAGGCTCAATGCTTACAGTTGTCTCGCAGTACGGCTTGTTTTGGTACGGAGCATTTTCTGGGACGTATATAGGCGTGGGCGTTTCGCTTTCTTCACTTTTCATGTTTTTCAGCAGGAAGTACTCTGAGGTTGATGGTTCGTTTTGGTTTTTCTGTGCTGGCATTCTCTTTAAAAATCGTAATCTCTCGCTGAATTTTGAATTAAATTCGAGCTTGCCCGATCATATGATGGTGCGCTGTCACGTGCCAAAATGCGAAAAAAGTGCAGAAAAGACGCATTTACGCCGGAGTACGCGGAATATCGCGCGTATGCACAATATCTCGGGATAAAACGCAGAAAAAACACTGCGACTATCCTGGGTATTATGCAAGTTCCGCCTCTCCTTCGAGATGACGGGCTGCCACTTGGGCTACACGCAGGAAAGAGCACACCCTTCCCCCAAGTGCTTTCCTGGGGATAGTTGTAATTTCAACAAAATCAGCACTTTCCGGCTATTCTCTGCTTGCAGCACGAGCATTTATTTTTGTCTCCAAAAAATTCGGCTGCTTTCAATCAGCGGGCCCTTCACTAGAAAATGGACGAAAACATTTTGAACATGAACCCAACTCCCAGATATTGCGTAACTATGTAGTACCCAATACCCGCGACTGCAGCAGCAACCAGTAATCCCAAAAGGTACATCACAAACTGCTTCTTCAGCACACTAATAATGCAGCCCATGAACTTACCGCAGCCTCTGCATGCGGTATTATTGCTGCTCTTTGTTGGAATAGTTACTACGTTATGGTTGGGCACTACTTTTGCCAGATCTACCTCAACGTATACTGGAGCTTTTTTGCCTTCTTTCTTTTCCATGAACAGGAAATCTCTCTCCCGTTTTATCCTATAGAGAGCACGAAATCACTGATGCAATCATGTGATGATGCTGCAAGAAGTGATATCTATCACTGGGGAGAAGCGTGCTAACAAGAGAAAACACGCATTTTATGCGCGAAATAGGATAATGTGCAAGAAATCTGCTGAGTGCGGGGAAAATGTGCGGAGCAGTGCAGAAAAAGCACACTCCAGCACAAAAGCACGCCCTCCTCGCCTCTGGAACTGCACTGCAAATAAATGTGCGTTTATTTTGGTCTCTCCGGCCGGAAATTCGGCCTTTCTCCTGCGTAACGTGCGCCCTAGTTTCCGGACGGCTCCTGGAATCCCTCCGACAGCTTGTTTATCTCGTCCTCCGGGACTCTCTTAATGCCCTCCTCCCGGGAGACTTCCACCATCTCGATGACGAAAGAGCCTTCTGAAAGCTCGTCCTTTGCCAGATGCAGGACTCGAATGGCAGCTTCTATCGCGCTGTTTCGGGTCGATATTTCGCCGTCTATTTTCTCCAACTCCGTCTTTGCTGCTTGCGCATTGAGGCCAACGGCGTATGCTCGGCACCTGTTGGCAGCGCCTGAGGGGTCGATGTGGAAGAGACTCACGCCCTTCGAACTTTGCGATGAAACCAGGAACTCGCACCCCGCAGGTCTCCACTCAATGTACGACGAGAAGTGAATCAGGAAAGCCCGCACGTACTCCAGAAATTCTTCTTCCAGGGGCTCTCTCTCTTTTGAGCAGAGTATCTGCGTGCAGTACTTCTTCAGCTCGTGCTTCAGCACAAAAGCATCGTGGCCCAGCCCAGTGTATGCCATTGCATATGCATCGGAGATGCTCTCTATGTACATGAGCCTCTTAATATCCACGAGCTTAGACGGTGCCTTCTTGTCAACAGCCAAAATCACTCCGTCTTTATAGGCTATTCCTATTGTGGTGTGTCCCTTTGCTGCTGCCTTTCTTGCATACTCTAACTGCAGAATGTTTCCTGTGTCGGTGTATCTTCCGCTTAAGTCTATGTTCTGCGACATAAATAAAGAATATAATAATTATTTATGCAAAGTCTGTGTGCATGCGCATGGGAGCGCGTTGGAGGGCGAAAATTCGAGAGAAAAATGAGCACCCGTCGAGAGAGATGTAGGCAGCACGGGGCAGCAGAGGACTTCCTGTGAAATTCTGGGTTTTCTTGCAGGTTTTCCGGGGGTTTTCCGGGGAAAGAGTGCTGGAAATCGTGCGGGAAGGCCGTAGAAAGAAGGGGCATCTCTTTGCGAGGGTGGGGATAGTGCCTGTTTGGTGCCTGCGCGCGATATTTTTCAAATTTGCAGGAGTGACTTTCCAGCCGAAAATCGCACTCTTCCCCGGGCGTGGAAGGATCTGCTTTTTTTCCGGGGTTTTGCCCGTTTTAGGCCGTATTTTCGGGATGTTTCGCTCTTAAATTCCTGAAAATCCATGGCACGAGCTTATTCTGGCGAGGGGCGGACGCGAAAGGAGGCAGTCGCCCTCGGATCGCCCCCGCCAAGGATGCGAAGCCTTATTCCGCCCCGTCCGAAAGATGCCCAAACTTTCAGGCGCTTAAAAAGTGGAAAAATCCCATCTCAAAAGCCCAAACTTTCTGGGGAAGTGCAAAACCCCCAGAGCACGCAGATACTCCAGCACCGCACGTTTCTATTCTTCAAGGTTTTTGCGGTGCACACTTCTCCCTGTGGATTTATGCACAATTCTTGCAAATATTTTTTTGCAAGAGAATGGATAGAGACAGACCGTTACTATTCAAAGGACAGACGCTGACATTTTCCATGTTTACAACCGAGGAGATACGAAATGAAAGCGTTGCCAGGATTGTAGACCCCGGACTTTTTGATCCCCTGGGAAACCCCATAAAGGGAGGCCTTTACGACCTGAGACTCGGAGCAACAGAGAAGGACTCCGTATGCGGACACTGCCATCTGAGGGCAGGACGCTGTCCAGGGCACTTCGGACACATAGAGTTGCCACTTCCCGTCTACAATGCGATGACTTACGACGTCCTGGGAAAGTTGCTGAAGCAAACATGTCTCACGTGCTACCGCTTCAGGATGGGAAGAGACGAAGCAAGCGCCCTGGCATCGCAGTTGAAGCTCGCCAGATGCGGATACGGCGTGGAAGCAGGGATAGTCGAGCAGCTGAAAAAAGACAAAAAGTATGCAGAGATCCCCGCAGTCGTGGAAGAAGCAATTCAAAGGGGGGGCGAAAAAGAGAGGCCTTCCAACCTCTCCTGCGGAATAAGAAAGGCCTTTTTCAGCTCCTACAAGAAGACGTGTCTGTGGTGCGGGGCACAGGGCAGGAGAATATCGTGGACTTCCCAGCGGATATTTGTTGAGAGACTTTCCCATGCAAAAACAGGCGCAGAAGCCGTTAAGGAGGAGCTGCTTCTCCCCGTGGAAGCCGTTGAAATTCTCCAGAAACTCGCCAGAAACGAGGAAAATGCGATGGGAGAGCTCTTCCCAAGCGCATACAAGAAGGGCGGGCAGAACTTCCTGCTGCCGATGTTTTTCGTTGAGATTGTCCCCGTCACTCCAAACACGTTTAGGCCCATGAGCAGGCTCAGGAGCGAGTCAGTCTCCCACAGCGCACAAACTGTCGCATACCTGGACATTCTCAAGCTCTGCCTCGACATCTTCAGCATCCAGGACAGATCCACAAGCTCCATAACGGAGAGTTACCTGAAGCTCCAGGAGGCAGTTGGATCCCTGTACTCCGCAAGCGGAAGACCCACAGCATCCGCAAGAACAGTCGCAGCCCAGGGCCTGAAGGAGCTCGTGGAGAAGAAGGACGGAGTCTTCAGGAAGAACATAATGGGGAAGAGAGTGAACTACACGGCAAGGTCCGTCATATCCCCAGATCCTGCGATAGGCGTGGACGAGGTAGGAATCCCCGTGGAATTCGCCAGGAAACTCACAATTCCCGAGGGAGTCTCCCCGGCAAATATCGAGTACCTGAGAAAGGCAGTTATCAGCGGCCCAGAGTACCCAGGGGCAGAGTTTGTGGAGGACTCAGAGGGCGGTCTCATCAGCTTGAAGCACATCTCCAGAGAGAAAAGGACGCACTTGGCAAACCAGCTCCTCACAAGGACCTCGTTCAACGCCCACGCTATAACGGATAAAGACGCACCGGAAAAATACACAGGAGAAGTCCCAGAGAAAGAAGCTGGGGGAGGAGTGAAAAGAGTCTGGAGGCACATGCGGAGCGGAGACAGCGTCCTCGTGAATAGGCAGCCCTCCCTCCATAAAGTCAGCATGATGGGACACAGAGTCAGAATACTCCCGAGGGAGAGAACGATCAGACTGCACTACGTAAATTGCAACTCGTACAACGCAGACTTCGACGGAGACGAAATGAACGTCCACTTCCCACAGGACATTCTCTCGCAGGTAGAAGTCTCAGAGCTCTGCTCAACTAATCAGTGCTTCATCTCAGCCACGAACGGAGCCCCAGTCCGCGGACACGTCCAGGATCACGTCGTTATGGGCGCAATTATGTCGCAGAAAAATGCGTTTCTCCCCCCGGAGGAGTACTCCCAGCTCGTAGTAGCAGCCCTCGGAGCACTCCCAAAGCTCGGAAGATACGCACTAGAAGAACCCTCCATCCTGCGCCCCCAGAGAAAGTACCTCGGAAACCAGGCAATATCCGCAGTCATCCGGAACCTCGGAATAGATATAAACCTCTCCTGCAGGACGAAACTCGGAGATACTTTTGTCCTCCGCGGGGGAACAGTCGTTATGGGAGCACTCGATAAGTCCCAAATTGGAACGTCCTCGTACGGACTCGCACACGCAGTGAACGAAAAGTACGGCGGAGAACTCGGAAACCTCCTCCTCACAGCAATTGGAAGGCTTTTTAACAGGGCTCTTGCAGTTCTAGGACACTCCTGCACGATGGAGGACCTGAAAATGCACAGCGCAGCAGAAGAGGGAAGAAGGAGGGAGATCCAGAGGGGCCTGCACGAGGGAAGTAGAGTCTCGAATGAGTTCCTCAGGAGTCGCCCAGACTACCTCCTGAAAACAGCGAGGGCAACAGTCGAGGGAGAAGTCCCCGAGGGAAAGAGAGAGCTCGACGCAGAAATGCGCAGACCCACGGGAGAGTGCGCGTCGAAGGTCCTGGAAATAGCGAACTCAGGACTCTGCCTCCGCGAGAGAAGGAATAGAATGTACATGATGGTCGCATCCGGGGCAAAGGGAAGCCTCGTGAACTTGGGGCAGATCATCTCAATGCTCGGACAGCAGGAACTCGAGGGAATGCGCGTCCCCCTCATGCCCTCAGGTCGATCTCTCCCCACATTCAACCCCCTCGAGAACACCCCAAGAGCCCACGGATTCATTTCCCAGCGGTTTTTAACGGGAGTCCACCCGGAGGAGTTTTACTTCCACTGCATGGCCGGGAGAGAGGGACTCATAGATACGGCAGTTAAAACAAGCAGGTCCGGATACCTGCAGAGATGCCTTATTAAGCACTTAGAGGGCATCCGGATAGACGTAGACGGGAGCGTGAAGGACGCAGACGGATCCGTTATACAGATGGTATACGGAGAGGACGGAATACACCCAGAGAAGGCAGCGTACCTCCACGCACACGAATTTTTCAATGAGAATCCCGGGATTCCTCGCCCGAATTCCCCGGAGATCCACGCGGGAGAGCTCTACAACCTCCGAGCACGCCCTGGGAGAGTCTCCGAGAGATTTTTCGGGTCTTCTCAGGAGAGCATCTGCAGGGAGAGTCTTTGGTGGAGGTACATTCAGGCTTCTGCAGAGCCCGGAGAAGCCGTTGGAATACTGGCAGCACAGAGTGTGGGCGAACCCTCGACGCAGATGACGCTGAATACTTTCCATCTCGCAGGAGTCGGGGGGAAGAATGTGACGCTGGGAATGCCGAGACTGAAGGAAATTGTCATGCACGCGACGAAGGAGATAAAGACGCCTGTAGTGACGGTGGAGGGGATCCGCCCGCCCTCGGAGGGGGAGGAGAAGATGCTCGCAGTCTCCGGGAGGAGGAGTCTGCTCTCCCTCGTTACGGAAGTGAAGGTAGATGAACAGGTTCTCGTCCAGCACGGAGTCCCGCTTAGGCAGCTGAAAGTCTCTGTGAAGCCGTTCCCTGAGGTCGCAGAAGCAGTCGCAGAGACACTTCGCAGCGAGTTCTTCGTCCGCTTCAGCAGGAACTTGAAGGCCTTTGTGAAGTCCCTCGCCTGCCAGGAGATCTCAGAGGGGGCGAAGGACGAGGAAATTCCCCAGGACTCCGCAGAAAAAGAAGAAGAAGAAGAAGATGAAAAAGAGGAAGAAGATGAGGAAGAAGAAGAAGAGGAGGAAGAAGAGGAAGAAGAAGAAAAAGAAAAGGGGGGAGAATGTCCTGAGAGCCAGGAGGAGGATGTTTGCATGGAGAAGGTGGAAGAGCCCTCGTGCGTCTGCGATGGGGAGTGGGTGAATATTACGCTGCACGCCCCCGTCTCGTATAAAACCCTGTACTTGCCCAGGATTGAGGAGATTCTTGGGAAAATGGTCCTGGAAACGGGAGCTTCCTACGAGAGTTGCACGTACGGGAACGGGCAGTACCTCGTGCAGAAGGGGGGGATTCACTCGCTTTTTGACAGGGTCGAAGACTTTTTGCTTAGCGACCTTGTGGACGTGAGGACTGCAAGATCCAACAGCATTTGGGAGATGCACAGCGCACTCGGAGTGGAGGCTGCAAGGGCTGCAATCATCCGGGAAATAGCTGCAGTCTTTGACGTGTACGGGATCAGGATAGACTACAGGCACCTCTCCCTTATTGCGGACTATATGACGCACACGGGGAGTATTATTCCCTTTAACAGAGGGGCTTTCTCTGTGATGGGGACTCCCATGCAGAAAATAACGTTTGAAACGGCGTCTGCTTTTATCAGGAGCGCAGTGATTGACGGGGCAGTGGATGCGCTGGAAAATCCCTCGTCCTGCCTGGCCGTGGGGAAGACTGTTCCCGTGGGGACGGGCATGGCAGAGGCTGGATA